AAAATCTAGCAAGATTAAAACAAACATATATATCAGGACTGTATAATTAAACTGGAAGATTCTACTAACCAATAAAGGAAAAGGTAATTCCAAGCTATTCCAATTTTACAGTTGAATATAAAGAAGAAACACTTCCCAAATTATTTTATATGTCTTATATAATGTTAATATGAAATCCATGAGAGGAGACCCTAATAAAAGATCATTGCTGGCTAATTTCATTTAATAACTCAGAGGCAATAATTCTAAATATAGACTTAGTAAATTTAATCTTGTAATTTGTATTTTTTTAAAAACATCTAAAAAGACAGAAATGGGAAACATCACAGAAATTTAGGAATGGTTCATTATTAGAAAATCTATTAACATCATTCAGCACAGTAACTGGATAAATGAGGGAAATACCTGTGACCATAATAAATGCAGGGAGAAAACTGAGGAAAATTCCACTCCAACTCATGGGGAAAAAAAAAGAAAAGAAAAGTAACACATTCTTAGCTAAACAGTAACATAAGGAAATTACTTAACTGATACAGAGACCCTACACAACCATATTAAAATATTGTATTCAATTGCATTGTGCTATTGATTATTACATCATGTTAGAAGCTGACCTTAAAAGTTAGTAATCAATCCTGAATACCTAATATCATAATTATTCTGCAAAAGTGCACTAATGGCAAAGGGGAGCATGGTGAGAAAAAACTACAAATGTTAGAATGTCAAGGTTAGGAAATTACCAACAAGTGATAATTAGCCACATAAACTGTGACCATTGACAGAAAACTGGAGAGAACATACAGATAAATAATTGAAATAACAAGAGTGCAGCAAAGACACTATATATTTATATTCAGAAATCAATATAAAATTAATATAAAAAGAAAATGCAATGATTTGAAGTTAATAAAGTTGTGGAATAAATACAACAAAAAGATATAAAACTACTAAAACACATTTGTAAATGTACCTAAATAAATGTAGAGGAAAGTCTAACATGTGCACAAAAAATTTATGGCTTCTCAGGTTAATAAAATTTCAATTGAAACCCCATTATTTTTTCAAAAAATGAAAAATATTTTCTCAACAAAATGGAAATTTTGTTTTTTCTCAGTTGTATTTGATAAGCTAATTTTAAATGTTATATGAGAGGGTAAAGATCCCAAAATACTGAAGACAGTTTTGAATATAACAATGCTATGTGATATAACCTTCCAGGTATCAAGGCATCAAGACTAATTGTAAAACTATACTAATCATATCATTGGTTGGTACAAGGATAAATAAGAAATAATAAAGAACATCAAAATAAACCATTATATATGTGTATGGATACTTCATATATGAAAGGAGACATTACAGATGGTGGAAAATAAGCTGGGCTGATTTGTTAGGCACATGAGAAGCTCTGGTTACCATCTGACACCACACCCAGAGTCAATTTTCAATTATGTTCTTACATGCTTGTCTTTATGACAAGACAGAGAAGCGTTTCTTAATGAGGGCATTCAAAATAAAGGAAAAGACTGTTAAATTTAATCGCATTCTATTAAAAGAAAATTTTTTATTTCTACAATAACAGCTTAAAAGCAAAGGCAAATCACCTGTAATACTACTGAATGAAACGTTGCTGTTCAAAAATATAAAGAACTACTATAAACTGATATAAAAGATACATAATCTAATATAGAATAAAGGACAATATGTAAATATGCAATTTATAGAGGAAGAAGTCAGATGCCAGTTAGCATGAAAAAAATACCTTTCTCTGGCTCTCAGGACAGTAGAAATTAATAATTGAAATAACAAGAGTGAAGCAAAAACAACGAGAGTCCAACAAAAGTAGGAATTAAAGTCACAGAGATACATTTGAAACCTTTAAAGTGACACTTTTTCCAAGAGTGTGAAGAAACAGAATTTCTACTACATTTTTTGATGAAGGTGTAAATTGAACAATCATTTTGGAGAACAATCTAGCAAAGTCAAGGAAGTGAAGATGTGTACCCCAGAGAAACTCTTGGGAATGTGATTGGAATGTGCAAGAATGCTAATAGCAATATTGTAACAGGGAAACCTAGAAACAGTCTAGATCTTCGCTAACATTCAATTTAAAAATTACGTAAGGTTTACCACAGGTTTCTCCACTATTTGAAAGTAGAGCATTCCTGTGAAACTTCTTGTAAAAGCAAAGAAGCAATTACAAAGAAATATTAACTTATCTGGAAAATTATCTTAGTATTCCCAGACCTGAAAAGTAACCTATCTTAGGCTTTTCTGATACCTTAGGACACATCTTGCTAATCAACACACATTAAAAAAATCAAGATAAAGCATAGATGGGCACAGACATAGTTCAAAACTATGGCTGCTGAGGCTGAGACATTGAGCTGGGAGGTGCCACTCTCGCTGCTTGGGGTGACCCTGCCTGTGTACTGGCTCACTGCAAAACAAATGCTAAACACTCTTTTTTGCTTTTTGCCTTTTATCACAAAAGTAAGAGTCCTCTTCCTTCAGTTAGGAAGGAAGGCCTACCATGAACCTTCAAAAAGTGGGGGATGTGTGTAAATACATAACCTGCAACATGAATTCATAGTGAAAGCAAATGGGCATCCTCTATCCATGCATATGAATCTTTGAAATTATTGAGCAAAAAATAGAAGCAATTTGAAGTATACATGAAGAGTCTAAAAGCATGCAAAATAGTGTAACCAGTTTAGAGAAAAGTAGGTAGTAAAATTTTAAGACTAGCATAGAAGTGAAAGACACCAAATTCAGATAATGTCTAGTCTTTCAAGGTTGAAGAAAGCTCATGATTCTAGAGAAGTCCACATAGGGCTTCTATTTTCTCTATGATTTTTGTTTGCTTTAGCTGGGAGTTAGATGCATGGGCATTTATTATTTTATGCAGCATACCTTTTATGTTTGAAATATTTAATAATAAAAAGAATAGGTTATAATTCATAACCACAGCTTTTAAAAACCCTGTGTGGTTTCATAAATATTCAAGTGATACTTTTCAAAGTAGATTGTGAAATGCTTTATAAACCAAATATGTCCATCTGGAAATAACCCTTGCTCTTTGTCACCACCGTAACAGAGCAAAAAATATTGTGTGCCTTCAACGCACACATGCCTACAAATTAATGGTATCTCCTGCACTTAAACACATGTAACCATAAATTTCCAGTATCAATCATGTAAAAGGAAATTGGTAACTGACTGAGATGGAAAGCATTCAATACATGTTATGTCACTTTAATTATATTTAGGTGTATAAAAATATTTTGAGTTTAGAAGATCGGTTACAATACTATCAAATTCTGTATTAATGATGGCACTGTCCTATCTGGCAAACATCCTCTATTAAATTGTAAAACAGCAAAAGATATATAAATTTATTATAAAAGAAATGTTCATGGCTTCAAGTTTGTTTAAAACTATTTGGTTTCTGAATGGCAAAGTAATCTACATGTATTGATCATCCATCCACACATTCCTGTATTTTTTGAGCACTTACTGCATGATAAGCTCTGCTGTATGCTTGCAGGAAATCATGATAAATTCACCAAAAAGGTCAATGACCATACTTATTCTCTCCAGTGGAAATAGGTAGTCAATAAACATATCAGAAAGGTTACTTTTAGTCATAAGTTCTATGAAGAAAAATACAATGAAGTCAAAGAAATAGGATTAAAGGTCGTAGAGGTGAAATTAATTTCTATGTGCAAAGCCGGAAAAGCACCATAAGGAAGTCTCATTTGGTTTGTGATGGGAATAATGAAAATGAGCTATGAATGAGATCTGTGGTACAAAATAAGATCAGCTTTTGCAAACCTCTGAGAATTGGACAAGTGGCATCTTTAAGGGAAGGAAAAGATACCATTACGAAAGATGTCGGAAAGGTTTGCCAACTCATCTAGCTTGACAGAGGTAATTGCGGAAGAAGTCCCTTGACGAGTTAAAGATGGTAACAGCGTGATCTGATGTACATTGCAGAGGTGTTAACCTGGTTTCTAGAGGCGGTGAGAGCTGTTAGCAGGGATTCTGGAATGGCCTGTGTAGATGGGGGCAGTGTCTAGTACAATGGGAATAGAGGTAGAACCGTCTGTAAAGTCAACAGGACTTGCCACTGGCCTGAAAACTATGTTCACTGGTAAAACAACAAGGGATTTAAGGTTTATTTTGTTGCATCTGCATTTGAGTTTGGGTCTGAGGTGATGTGTCTCTGGCGTTGTGTTAGCTGCATACAGGTAAGGAGATTAATAATATAAGGTAATACAGAGTGAAAGCCTTTGTATAGGGTTTTCAGGTTAAAGGTTGTTCTCTTAAATTAAAAAAATAAAACTATTCAGAAGTATGTATACTGTTGCCTAACTACTTGGGTGGCATTTCTAGTCAAAAATCTGTTGTACCAAGAGTTGTTTACAGAATAAAATGGAGGGAAATAAACCACCATAAGGTCTAGCACTGTATCCCGTAACACATGCAGTTACAGAGAACATTAGCTAAAGCTACAGAATGCGTAGATAAGAGCTATGAACTTTAAGTTTCTCTTTGAACAACTGTAGGCAAATTCCAAATGTTGTGTAGCTACTAAAAATGCCCTAAAACAATTAACTAACTTTTCTGACAGACTGATGAGGACAGAAGGGGATCAATAAATAATGAAAAGCAATAATAGAAGAGGATATGGATATTCCCGGGAAAGCAATGATACTCTTAGCCACACATAATCAAGAATGTCATTGATTCCTCAGGAAGATGAAACTAGAGGTATCAAGGGTGTCATTCCACATGTCATCTGGGGTTCACTGTTTTCATTCTTGCACAAATTAACTTTCCAAACCATTTTGTTCCCAGAAAGGGTTCCAATTATCTTCAAATCTTGGTTGTCATTCTAAAGTTTGGAATTTAAAGAACAAAACAACAACAGAGGGTTAGGTACTGCTAAATGCAATTCATTTTCTTTGAATTATATGGATCCGAACTGTTATTTGTAGGGAAAAAATTGGATGCTGTGATTGGACAAGCATGGTGCCGGCACATCTTACAGAAAGAAGACTCACTAACTGTATTAACATTCCCCCATCGCCAATCTCTGAAGACAATGGCAGTAAGTTGTCCATGCTTCAACAAATCCTACAATTCTAGCAACCTTCATATGGCTCATGGATGTCCACTGACATGGATGACCAGGCCTTTTTGTCCCCTGCTTCCCTAAAATCTGTTGCCTTTCCCATCAACTCATTTCAGTGAAACCTGCTCATGAGCATATATTGAATTTGCTCTACTATGAAATAATCAATTTGATATCAGTCGCTTTGTCTGACAATTTTGCCCATAGTAAGAGATAAATGTCAGCCACTTACACTATTATATAACATTATTACTGTTATTATGATTATTATGTTATTTTTTTTCCTTCCCACTCTCCTGCTCTTCCAGCTTGCCTGTTCAGCAACACTATTCTTCAGCTGATCAAGAAAGGCAACCTTAAGCCTTTTAAAAAAATTATTCCTCCACTAGCCTCTTATAGTCTTCATACCTTTCCTTGTGCAGTGTGACACATAACTTCTGTAAACCGAGATCACACTATACATATTTTCAACGGCTGTATGGTCCTATTTCCCTTCTTCTTCACCATGTGGATGAAAAACAGCATGATTCCAAACTGCTGCCCTCTCCATCCTTTTATCTCAGCTGCTCCTTGAACAAATTCATGACTACCAAACTTGCAGCATGATGAATTTGTGTACTCAGAAGTTCATGTTCCCATTTTCCATCATTTCTATTCTTTTTTAAAATTCAGCCTCCATCTCACTCTGTCAGCGGAGGGACTCGCCTACTTCATAAGGTGAAAAAGTTTACCATGAAGAAATCTTCATCACATGAACCTTCAAGTCCACAAATGCAGAGCATCTCGAGGTGGTTGCAAAAATAGGTAATAAAGCTGGCTTGCCCTGGCTTCAAATTCTTTCTTTACAGTATACTATTTTACCTTCCCTAGGTCTCAGTTACCACATGTGTAAAATACAGGTAATATTTTAAACTACTATTAAAGAAGATATAAAAAATGTTGGAACACTGCTGTGCAAAGTATGCCTGTCATAAATGTTGCCATTGTTATATTATGATTCCCATTGCTTGTGCCCATTTTCCTTTCTCTCTTCCTTCTTTCCGCCTCTATGGCTGTGCTAAGAGCTATTAACTCGACCTGTGGTTAAGACTCCATAATCTCCTGTTCAATTATTTCAAGAACCTTTCGACAGAAATTCCCAGCCCTTACTTCTGTATATTCAAGGTCTTCTTCTCTGGTGACCCTTTCCCACTCCTCATTTATATAAGCTTCTGTTGCTTCATTTTAGAAAATTCCCACAAGCTCTTCACCTGTTACTATGCTCCCAAATCAGAGCTGAAATTTTTGAAGAAGTTGCTTTCCTCTTGTATTCTGGGATCACACTCCAATCTTTCCCGTTAGCACCTCTTCTACATGGCCTGGAACAGTCCAAATCCTGGGAGACGGGGCTCTCTCTGCTGCAGAGCCTAAGGTGCACTTTCGTGTCTAGGTCTTGAGAAAACTACACAGCAACAGGAAAAGCTTACTCAGCACTTCCTTTGTCTGTGGTGCCTCCTCCAGATTTCCTCTTTCGCATCCTTGGGGTGTCGGCATTACCTCTTTTCTCTATCTTAACATCAAACAATGCAGTTTCCTTGTGTCACTGTGGTTCTCTGTCTCTATATTCTTCTAAGAAATTGTGTCTACTAGTGTGGATTCAGTTATTATTTATATGCTGATCACTTCTATTCTGAATCCCAGACCCATAAGACCAAATGTCTGACTGTACAATACTGCTTCTACTTGATAATTTTACAGAAATATTAAAACTCTTTCTCTAACTATACAAACACACAGATATGTTCTGTTATGTATAATATATATAGTACATAATTATTTACATGTTAGACACATATAAACATATGTGCTTTACATATGCACATACATAAAATCAAACTTACCAGTATAACCCCAAAGCAGTTATTCATTTTTCTCTTGTATCATTATATATAGCAAAGAATTATGTTTTATTTCTCCCCCCTTAAACAACACCCGGAATTCTGCAAAAATCATGTTTCTATACCTTGTAAGGACATAGTGAGTTTCTCCATTCATCCAGTCATGTACCTATTCCCACCACCCTAATTTAAGCCATAAATTTTAGCCAGGATTTCTACAGTAGTCTCTACTTACTCTAAATCTGAATTTGGCCTATGTTGATTCATTTCTCATTTTACACCCAGAAAGATCTTTTGTGAAATGAAAATTTAGATGAAGTTTCTCTGCTGTTTAAATCATTCCATCATTGCCCACTGGATATTCAAAATCTTTAGGATGGTTTACAAGGGCCACTGTTATCTGTGCTTGGAATACCTCTTCAGCATCACAAAGATTTATTAAATTTTAGAGGAGTTCATAATGATACTCAAAAAAAGGAAGAGAGCAAAAAAATAAATTCCATCACAACCACCGTCAACAGCACATGAATCTGTAACTATTGGCAGAAATTAATGAACCAATTCCTTACAATGAATATTGATGATTATGAGGAAAGATTAAGAAGTTAATTTGCGTTTTTTATGTGAGTCCCAGATTCCAATGAGAGACAGTTTAACCTAAGCAAACTTAAAAAGTAATTGATTCAGACAACTCTTATCAATGGAGTTAATTTCATTAAGTAAAATGGGAAACTGGGTATTTGCCAGCCACACTATCATCCTGCAGTTTGCTTTGCCAGCTATAAGAGAACAAAAGCAGCCTTACAAAGAGGCGTTGGGCTGTTACCATGTGAATTCAGTGACTAATTTTAGCATCACAGACCACTAGGTCTGGAATCACATTACCTGCTTGCTGATCTCAAGCAATACAAGTTACACGGCACCACCAACTAAATACTCTAGGAAAAAGTTACATCTAAATACAATCAAGACTTCAGTTTGAATTTACAGTTTCCCGAAGACACAAGGATAGAGGGATAATTTAAACAACAACATGAGGGACTAACCAGACACTCAGAAAGTCAGTCATCACAGAGGACCATCTGAGTCTCCAAGTTGAGGCCATGAAAAATAAAGAATGGAGACCATTACAGATTGAAGGAGAATTGAAAGACATAACAAGTTGCAAGGTTTACACATTTTGCTTATTTGAGCAACTCAAATGTAAAATACTCTTTCAAAGACAAACATGGACATTTCCATAAGGATGAAATAATTTCATAATATTAAGGAATTCTAATTTTTAGGTCCAATAATGTTCTTTTGGTTATGTCATGAAATGTTCTAATTTTATAGACTTGTATCTACAGATGACTATCACCTTTCAGAGCAGCCCACAGTGAGATGGGAGAACATGGTGTCCATTGGTGGGAAACGTCCACTTCTGTGTGAACCTTGCTCACTATTCCTTCAGTTTTCCAAACATTAGTGTGCACACATTGTTTCCAGAAGCTGACACATATCCTGAATGCTAGATTCGATGGCGTCTGCAAACATGTTGTAAAGAATACAGGCCCCTGCAGTATATGAGGAATATGGGAGAGGAAAGTAAGAGTGTAAATAAATACCTCGTCCTTTGTGTATGGGCTGATTGACAAGAAAAAAGGAAGTCAGAATAAAGAACTTGGAAAAAAAAACTGTAAGCCAAAAGGTAAGAGCAATTGGAAAAACCAGTTCCACCAGAATTAAAACCAATTTATGTGCTATTTTCTATGATACAATTTCTTAATTGGAAAGAAAATAAAAGTTGTCTTATGTTTTCTGTACACCCAAAAGATCACCTAACATATTTGCTCAGTTTTGTTTTGGTTAGAATACTGTTCATTGCATATTAAATTCACATAAAAGATAAAAGCTTCCTTAAAACTTCAAAGGCACTTAGTTCAACTCATTTGAAAATGGTTGTTTACTGAACAATTTGCTTTGCTTAATAAAAACGTCATGATTGAAAATAAAAAACTTTGAACAGCAAAATAGATATTGATTTGAGTGGTATAAACAAAAAAGTTTTCCTGGATTTGCTTTTCAGATTGCATTACATACAAACAATAGCAGATTATGTATATATCATGTATTACAAAACCATGATATGCTGCAAATTTTATCAAAGATCATGATATTAAATCTAAAATAAACCTTTCACCCCTAACCAAAATGTCTCTTTTAAAAATCATTTTAAATCCAGCAAACCTACTGGAGAAGAAACAGGTCTATCCTTATACAATTTCTGACCTAAAATAGTAGAGATACAAGATATGTATCATATTTTTCTGATAAAGGATACTAGTCTGTAATCTCTTCAATTTATAGGAGAAGAAAAAAATGTGAATCAGTTATAGAATCAGTTAAAGAATGATGTACAAATTTCTCAGAACTATATCATGTAATTCAGATGCATAGAGCTTAAATCTTTAGTTACTCTGAAACAATGCTTGATTATAACACTTCGAAATTTTGGAAAATATCATTGGCTCACAAGTCCTTGACTCAAACTATGTTCTATTAAATAAAACTTTCATAATTTCATGCATAATTCATAAATAAAATCAACATACAAGTTGATTACAAGTATGCCAGTGTTCGGGTTAGGATAATATGTCTGATTTCAACATTTTTGCATCTGTTTTGTGAAATCTCAGTGCATTTGGCATTTTCTTGGGTCTTTCTGAAATGCGTCCTATGTGTCTAACCAGCATGAAACTTTTCTTTAATGACTTTCCAAGTACCAAAGTGTCCTCCCCAGGAATCCTCCCTTCTAAAGCTACTTCAAACTCAGAGGGTTGGTACTGCCATACCCAAAATCTATTCTAAAACGCCTTCTATTTCGCTTCTTCCATACCCAGGGGCTCTAAAAACACTATGGAGAATGAAAATTGATGCAAATGCTCCCAAGTAACACATATCTAATGAAATGAGGACTTTCCAAAGTTTATATTTATTTTTCCTAAATGATTAAAGATTTATTGGAAAGTCAGGCATGAGAAACTGTCCAGGAACATTATGTTTAAGCAGCCTTGATTTTATGTGGATGTGCAAACCCTTGGTGCCCACTTCTGTCCTTAGAGTCAGTCCTACACAGAACATGGTAGTCATACCCAGTCATGTGTGGCATCACTGATACATGTGCACTGGGTTCTGAAAATCACAGTCAGGAGAAATAGTCAAGAGGAGGCCCTCCTATTGAAAATAATTTTATTTATTATCCAATCAATCTGACTTAGCAGGGTCCTTAGCTACTTAATAAGTAAGTATTAAGTGTGTTTATAGGTTGGGGGAGGTTTGCAAGTGTTTTAAGAACAGCTAGCATATATTTTATGATTCCCTCAAGTTTCTGTGCTTCAGAAATTGACCACATTTCTTAACTAAGATCACAAGATATGTTTCTGAAAAGCAGCCTCTTTGTCATTTAAGTCCCAGCTTTATTTGTGTGAATTTAAATATAATTTAAAAAGTGCTTGGCACAATATATATAAGATTTAGCTTTATTTTTATAAATCAAATGACTTGTGATTTTTAAATAAAATAAAATGATTACTTATCACAACACTAAAAATGTCAGCTATTTATAAAATTACTCCAACAGATATTTATATTTTTATGTCAAAAGGATACGAAATCTCTAAATCAAGTTTTGAGGTTTTTTGTGGGTTTTTTTTGCAATGACATTTCTTAGTTGACAATGTGTAGAAGAAGAAATAATAGCACAGGAAAGCGGGAAGAACAATAACAGTTCCACAGCACTGGCACTGCTGGAGCAGGGCGCTTCTGCACACGGCCCGTGACCTGGGTACAGACCACGTGGCCTCAGCCACAAGGGGCCCGGCCCCCCTCAAAGCGCAGTGGGCAAAACCAGGTGCTGGATCAACACAACTGTAATTCAATTTAAGAGAGCTTCTTTTATTGCATAAAAGAAGTCATTTATTTGATTGGCTCTCATTTATTTATTTTTGAAAAAGTTGAGTGCTTACCAGTTTTTTATGATGTTCAGCAGCTCACCAGGTGACACGAAAAGACGTGAAGGGTCCATGACGATGAAATTACTTCAGCAGTCACTCTGTTGACAACGAGCCTCCTCCTGCCTGTCGGCAAGCCTGGGCCTTCTGGTGGTGGGTAATTGCCAAAAACTCCAAACTGCAAGGGAGATATTCCAGAGATTCAAGCCAACGTCACAAAACTGCGATCAAAGTCTTCTGATACAGGTTCTGCATGAGTTCCTAGGTCATTACAACCAAGGTTGGGGACGAAAGGAAATGTTAAACTGTCTTTCCATGTCCTTCTGATCCGGCGCATGCGTGTCTCTCTGGAGAACCACTTAGCTTTGGGGCTGAAGTTACAGATCTGGACAGCCCGCTGCCCCTCCAGCACAGATACCACTGCAGTGGGCGGCCCTGCTCCCAAGACTTTGGAAGCCTATATTTTGTTAACTTACATATGTGACATGTATTTTTTACCTTAAGAAATTAAACAGACTATTGCAAGGAGCTGAATTTAGTAAACCTTGCCTATGATAAAAATAGCATATTTTATGAGTTATGATATGAGAATAAGCCTAAAAAATGAATAAATCCTTCTTGCACTCTGACAACACTGACTTTTTAACATTTGGGAAAGGTGACACATCGGAGAATTCTGTTCAGAAGGAACATTCCTTCCATGACAGTATCCTCCTTTCCCACCTTGGTGTTCCCCACACTACATCATCCCAAACATGATTAACATTTGTTTCCTTTCTGACAGAGATCTCATTACCTACTGTGGCTCAAAACCTTGGTTTAGCAGGGATTGCCATATGGCATTTTAAAAATTGTTGTCAATTTACATAATGCATTGGACCTTTTGATGAAGAAACTGCAGAAAAAGCTAGGGATGGCTTGGCATGCTTGCTGAGTCTTACTGCATTTAAACTATGCTCACAGGAGTTAAGAAAATCAGAAACTGAATTCAAATATTGAGACACATACACACACAAATTCAAATTGGAGAAATGAGAGAAATTTTGATGAGCATGAAATCATCTTTTCTTTTGAGACAAGAACCAAATAATAACTAGAGAAATTTCTAGTATTTCTATAATAAAAAGAGATCTATTTATCTTCTCAGAATTTTCAGACACTAATGAATGTAAAACTTGAGAAGAAACTACAACTTCTTATGCTTGATCCATGGGAATGGCTAAAATAATGCTCCTTAATCCATTCTCCCTTAGTGGACCACATTTTCTGTTTCTGTCCTTGGTTGATTTATTTGTCATTCTTCATCAGGGAAACCTAATCAGTGACACTTGTATGGCCAGCCTTTCCCAGCCTATTACCCTTTCCCAGGCGCTGCCGGTTATGGCAGATCTTCCTGGTTACTCATGGCACCATTTCCTCTTTATGACCACATCATAAAGTCCTTCCCAGCACTGTCTTCTGAATGAATAGCTATTGTCCACTAACTACAGGGCACATGAGATACAACTTACTCTACATCTTTCTTAAATCACTCAGATTATCTCTGACCTTAGCGGTGCTCTCTGCCACTCACTGTCTTTGTCCTTCTAGGTAATCAAACTTCAAATCACAGGAATTGCTTTTGATTTGTATCCATATAGTTTGCATCACTGAATCCTATAATATTAAACTTGGAATAAAATTAAGTGTCCCTCCAATACAATATTAATTTTGTAGATGAGGAAACGAAGGCCTAGAATTGTTAACTAACTGGTACATTTTTTTTTCTCAACAATTGAGCTGCAGATTCCATGGTGCAACACAGATATCTGAACTCTAAACTTGGCCATCATTCTACTGTGCTATATTATCTGTACAACTTTGTGTATGATTTTAAAGAACAGACAAAAGTTTCATATTTGTGTTTAGAAACATCTACTTCTGCTTGCCAGTGTTTCTTCCGTGGCTGCAAAATAACCCCACCACACCTCTCCAGCCCAGATATGCATTTTCTCTCCACTCTCTTTGTAATCACCTATTGATATGGAGATGCACTAAGGACAGGTGAGAGATTCTGGAAATACTGCAATTTTACCTACACTTATTCTGGACAATTCATAAAAATAGGATCATATGATATGTGATCTTTGGTGTCTGTTTTCATTTAGCACAATGTTTCAAAGTTCCTCCACTTTAAAAGCACGTATTAGCACCTAATTTTTAGATTCTCAGTCAACCCCATTGATTTCTGTGTTCATATACTCCATGACCTATATGTTCTTTAGATTTTAAAGTAACTTTGGTTCAGACATACCACACACATACCCCTTGAAATAAAGTATACTAAGACAATTTCTCCACAGAATGTTTTGTAGGTCTTTCTCAAAAGATACTACAAAATGTGTTTAACACATTTATTGACTGTTTGCTGGGCCAGGCTCTGCAATCAACATTTTTGTTGGAGAACAGAAACAATTAAACTTTACACATCCGAAAGGGGTTCAACCTTTGGTTGATAACAGAAAAAAAAATATGGTTAATTCTATAGAGATATCCAAAATAAAAGTTTTAGTTCTAAGATAATTCATGTATCACTCCATTAACCCAGATAACTTAAATGAATATAAGATTATAAAAGGAGATCTCTCACCTCCTGTCTTGCCAATGGGTTTCAGCCCCTGGCAAGTTCGCTATGGATTCAATGTGACCAAAGAAACTGACAGCAAAACGTTCTTGGGGTGAAAGGGTTACACCCAACTTTACTTCCAGGTGGCAGGTCAGTCTGCAGGCAGCAAGCCAGTCTCTGCCTTTGGGCCTCTCTGCACGGTCGTCCCACACAAGCATTCTCTAGATGTCTGTCCTCTGCTCTGCTCTCCTGCAGCCTTGCAGCCCTGCCACTGTGTTGCACCCAGAGCACTGGGTAGAGCTCTTTATATAGAGTCAACAGCCATGCATTGCCCACAGGTGTGCAGTGAGCTAGTCAACCAGGGACAGGTGAGAATCCTGGCCACAGGAACTCTCATTTTACCCACACCTCCCTACATTGGATACAAGTGTAGGACTTGGGATTGTGTATCATTAGGATGTTTGTTAGGGATAGTGAAATGCTTTGGAGCATTTTTGCTAAGATTCTACAATGCAAATGAATCTCTTTTGAAGGATGTAAAAGTTTATGAAGTATGTAAGCCAGCTGAGTTCTGAATAACCACATTCAGTTTAACATAGGGGTATTGGGGTCTTAAGAAAAGATTCTGAACTTGATGCTAGTCAGGGAGCACATACTCGGCAAAGGAGAAGGAAATTCCTAGCTGTGGCTCATACATAGTGAACAGATTCAACCCATTGGGACTTATCTTACGGGCAAAGCTTAAATGGTGTGAGTTCAAGTAAGCTTTATGAACCTATTGCACATTTGAAAGTCAGAGTAGTCGACATTTCTCTTCTAAGAGTTCCTTCTTTATAATAGGCATCGTGGTGTGAAAATGGCCAAATATGCACACTGACCAGGTGGCTCCATGATGAATGCTGTTCATGCTCCATGTGCAATCTGCTCCCCACTCACCATCTCTCTGCACGCTGGAAAGCTCTGGTTGTGCGTGCGCTCTGCCCAGCGTGGAAGGCAAGTTGGAAGCCCAAGCTGAACAGCCCATTTTGGACAGGGGAGTTGGCAGGTAAGTGTCTTGATTCTGTTACCCTCTGTAGGGATCTGTAAGGCACACCCTGCATGGTGTGCTTAGGGCCACTGCAGATCCCACTGACCACAGCTAGCTGCTCAGGGGAGCATCAGGCATTTTCTAGCTTCCCTTTCAGGATCATTTTTCTCCCTCACACCTGTGCTTTCTGGGACCCCCTCTGTCCCGGTCATCTACTAGGGCAGATGGACCCCCATCCAAAGTTTGTTCACCCTGTCAAGGTTGATGATGTCTCACATTTATCAAGAGGGTGTGAAAAGATAAATATCTACACAACTGGGTCTGGGGAGAGCAGGCGGGACCCAGGATCTGAGTGTGTTTAAGGGTGGGGCCAAGGGAGGAATCCCACACAGGGGAGGCTTGCCAGGACTTGTGTGATCTGAGACCCTGTGGTACCAAAGGAGGGAGCACCCTGTCTTTCTCATCTCTTTGTACTCAGATGAGTTAGAGAAGAGAGAGAAAGGGGTGAGGTGTGAACTGTCAGCAAAAAGACATCAAAAAATGGGGTCAGACCCTTTTTATAATTCAGCAGGATGTTTGATGATTGAAATGTGACGTTTTATTTCATTACATTCACACATTTGCCTGAGCGATTCGGTGATGCTCTGTGGGCCCTGTAGCCCGAGGGCAGTAGGGAGGGGAATGTTCTGTTGACTGAGGGCCTTGACCCCTGTGTGGAGCCAGGACCAGCCACAGCTGTGTCTTGACGGCACCAAGGATGGAGGCTGCAGTTCACCACATGCTCAGGGATGTGACAGCGGAGGGGGGCTGGCGCGATGCGCCGGCAACAGTTCACCCCCTCTTGCGGGATCTTTTATGAGTATTTGTATATTCGTAGTAAGTGTCAAATGGCTCCACTTAACAGGAGGGTGTCATGCATGTAATGTCACACTGGTGTTCCTGGGGCAGGGCTATTGAGCGACCATACCAGTGGCCAGTAAGGCGTATAGTGGCTCTTGGAAGATAAAGACAATGTGCCCCCAAGAGGCTATTGAAACATGCTGGAGAGACTCTATTACCCAAACACAAAACAGCAGAATAATTTTACTAGTTGCTAATTGGAAGGACTCAGAGACTTCAGTAATACTGGGTGTGGGCACTTAATGTATTGCACAGCACACTTGTTGATGAAATCCTCTTTGAGGGGTCATTTATTGTTTCCAGGTTTAAAAATAGGCTAAACTGGGTCGTTAAATGAAGAAGCAATGGAAATATGCACCCCTTCTCCAATTAGATCCTACATAATAACTTTCAAACCTTGAAGGCCCTGTTTAACTTTTATTAGACCATATTAGCTACTTTAACTGGGAGGTAAGGCCCATGGAGTCCACAGTTTGTCAAGCCAATGTGTAAGTGACAAAGTCTTAATTTAATTTTAATTTATTGTTCATTCAGCCATAGCATCCATGTCCTCTATGCGCTATTTGAGGGCAGTTGCTGCTACGA